GTATGTGTGTGTGTGTGTGATCATTGATATGATATATTGAATTTACATATGAACTCGAATAAATATTTACATGCACACATGTCTCATTGTAGATCGTTAATAACTCCGATTCACATGTAAATGTTAGTAAACTCATTTCCAAACTTTTTTTTTTTTAATATTTTGATCATTCACAAAACATTGAATTAACATGTGAATTCAAATAAATAATCACATGTATATATACATGTCTTTCTTTTTAGATAATTTGGTTTTGTGTGAATAGATTCATAGGTGAATCTCAGTAAATTCACTTACAAAATTTTATTTACTATTTCAACATTTTAATAATTTATAGGTGAATCTCTATAAATTCACTTACATTTAAGTTTCTTATGGGAGTTGATGTTCATAGGAGTTTATGTTGGGGTACCTAAAACTAGTTATGGAAGTTGGTGGTTGGTTCTATATCTACTTGTAGAAGATGATGGTGGGGCTCATAAATGCGGTGATGGAGAATTGGAGATGATGGTGGGGTGGATAAGCTTGATGTGGGAGATAAGAGTGATGATTCCATTCTTGGTCAACTTGTGCTTGATGAGGGAAGTGTTAAAGATATTGCGCCAAAACCCATGTACCTATATCAATTTGATATTGCAACTTTTAATACAATATGGATACACTATAGATGACATACAAGGCTACAAGCTACCATACGGATACACATTCTGCCATAAAATTTGTCACAGATGAAAAGGGTAACATTGTATTTCCTCTTAAACTACAAATTGAAAAGGGTAACATTGTATTTCCTCAACAAGTTAATGATATAAATAACATGGTACTTTAAGTTACACACAAGTTATAATTTAAGCATAAAATGACAAAACAAAATTAGAGAGACTAACTTATTAACACTTCACCTAATGGTGGGTTAATTCTAACTAAAGAAACTAAAGGGTCGAAGTGTAATTATTCTATACTAGGTGTAAGACCCATGTATTAAATGGGTTCATTTTAGGGATATATACAGTAAAGTCCCAATATTTTCATCGATTTGACAAGAAAATCCTAAACTTTATTTTTTTGACAGTAAAGTCCAAATTACCGGCAGTTTTTGATACTTTTACCATTTTTTCCCGGTTAGCCGGTAATTAGGACTTTTTTGTCAAAAAAATAAAGTTTAGGACTTTCTTGTCAAATCGTCAATTAGGACTTTATTGTCAAAAAAATAAAGTTTAGGACTTTCTTGTTAAATCGTTGAAAATATTAGGACTTTAGTGTATATCTCATTTTTTTTTGTTAGAAATTTAATGGTATGATACTCTTTAAGCATAAGAGTTATTAAAACCTTCTCTAGTCAGCTAGATCCTATTGAAATCTTTAACATTTGCTTCTTGTTAAATCATTTTTTTAATCTCAACAAACCGACATTGAAAAAAAATGGAGATAATCAAGAAAGAAATAAAGAACCAGGGTTGTGTTGGCTTTTTGCAGTCCCAAAAATGGAGAAATAAGAAACCGAAAAAAACGAAATTGCCCTGGCTTTATACAAACACAAACAACACATGCCTAGTAAAAAAGGTGTGAATGTGGAGAAGGGAAAGAAGGGCAATTTCTTTTTTTTTCGGGTTCTTATTTCTCCATTTTTGGGACTGCAAAAAGTCAAACAACCATGGTTCTTTCTTTCTTTCTTTCTTGATTATCTCAATTTTTTTCAATGTCGGTTTGTTGAGATTAAAAAAACGATTTAACAAGAAGCAAACGTTAAGGATTTCAATAGGATCTAGCTAATTAGAGAAGGTTTCAATAACTCTTATGCTTAAAGAGTATCATACCATTAAATTTCTAACCAAAAAAAATTATATATACACTAAAGTCCAAATATTTTTAACGATTTGACAAGAAAGTCCTAAACTTTATTTTTTTTGACAAAAAAGTCCTAATTACCAGCTAACCGAGAAAAAAGGGTAAAAGTGTCAAAAATTGCCGGTAATTTGGACTTTACTGTCAAAAAAATAAAGTTTAGGACTTTCTTGTCAAATCGATGAAAATATTGGGACTTTACTGTATATATCCTTTCATTTTAAAGAAAAAAAATATGAAATTCTAAACATTTGAGAAGTTTGAATTTATAAGAAAAAAATAAAAAAAAATGAATTGTTAAAATTAAATTGTTTGTTTTTCTTTTAAATTAAACAAATAATTTAGATAAATAAAAAAAGAAAACTAAGGAAACTTTAATTTAGAAAATTTGAAATTAAAATGAAGTCAATTAATGAAATTGATATGCATTTATTATTACATTTATTACAATTATTACATTTAAATATTATGTGGAAATTAATAAAATGAAAAAAACCACAAAATGTCATGTGGAAAAAAATTAATTGAAAATAACCACAAAATGATATGTGGCCAAATCAATAAGAATGTGACATGTGACAAAAAATTCTTTATTTATTAGAGATGATTTGAATTGGTAAGTATTTATCTCTTAAATAAATGGATAAATATACAAATTTTAGAAGATATTGTGCATCAAATAAAACCCAAGGCTTGGCCAAGAAGGAACCGACCTCTCTCCTTATTTCCCCTACTCCCCTCTCGGTATCTCTTCAATTCCCGATTTTAAAGATCGAGCTGCATTGTTTGGTTAATTCTTGGAGATCCAACGGTCAAAATGTCTTACTTATTGGACAACAACTTCCTAACACCCATACCAACATTCTGAATAGTTGAATCTTCTAGATAAGCTTTGCAGGACCCAGAAACACTACTTCTATTTGTTGGACAACAACATTTTATGGGTTCGGTTTTTGCTATAACAAAGAGAATGACTTGTCATTTTGCTTGGTCATTGTATTGGGGTGAAACTACATTATAAGACTTTTGGTTTTAGCTTTCCCTCACCCAAGACAACTAAAGAAACCAACTCACGTATACAAGTAAGGTATTGGTTCGATCCATACTTCTAGGATTTAAGTTTTGGTTGCTAAAGGTCACTAGAATAAAATCCTTAGTGAGATATGATGATCAAGTTTTATATTTCATGATTTCGTTGCTTTTGTGCTCTAATTATCATCATAAGCAAATAGTGGTATAAGCGCCAATGCTTTAAGGTTCTACCACATTATCAGTGACTTGGTCATAAAAGAGTTTTTTATGGGGTATAAATTCATATACGTAAAAATAATGCATTATGTCCCGGTTTTTAAAAATCACAATTAATTCTAGAAAATTCGTTTAAAGACGAGATATAACAATTGGTAAAAATAGGTTAACGTTCGGCGGTCAAACCACCGTGAACCGATATGTGTAAAAGACCAAAATTGTGTAATTTTATGTTTATAATATATTAAATATATTATACTCATCAATACTTTCAGAACGTTTCAAATTACTCAAACAACCATCTATCCTTAAGGATCGAGTCAAAAATCACAAAAATTAATTCTATTTGTGACGTTAAAAATGAATTTTTGCATCGAGTATGCTTAGGACCAATTTATGACCAAATTTGATAGATTATGCTCTCAGGACTTTGTAGATATAAAGAACGTCAAAAACGGAGATTGTATGCACAAAAGTTACAACCATTTTAAGAAACCAAATCAGTAAAATACTGATTTTCTTAATAAACGAAAACCGAATTGATCTGTTGAGGTACTTGCACACCTCATATGGAAATTCTGAGAACGTTTTTGGACTCTGACACATGTCTAATATTTGATTTCATAATCATAATATTTTAACCCGTTAATTTAACAAAGTCACGAAATCTGTCAAATCTAAAACGAATTAATCACGAAACTTTAAACGGATTGAAGCAATAATACACAAATAAATACATGA